TCTTTTTTCAAGCTTTATGTCCTTGACATATGTTGTTATATATATATATTTACACTTTAAGTGCAAAAGTCAATAATACTATCTTACAAAGATATGATTTATATAACTTTTACATATTTAAAAAGCTTTTGCATCAAATAGATAGTCTTATACCAAAATAAGATATAGAAGCAAACAATGTAAGCTTATATATATAATCTTAATATTACACATAAAGCAAGGATGGCACATAATGACAATTTTTTAATTTGGATAATATAAGTGCTTTTACAATGCTTTAGAGAATATCATTTTTTTATTTTTTATTTTTTTTTGTCAATAAGGTCATAAAATATTATCTAAATAAAAAGAAAGAAGAGAAAATGGTGATGATATATGAATACATCTTTACTTTGTTAAAGATGCCAATAAAAAATATTATAATCTTCCAACTTCTAATGAGGCTGTTGTTATTGTACCAAGCAATGGAACAAAAGTAGAAGGTATGAAAAATATAATTTTTCAATAGAAAGGAGGTACATTGCAATGAAATTGTAAAAAAACATCCTTCATATTTGCCACTCTACTATATATTTATATATATATATATACATATACATATCTATATATTTTTACAAGGAAAACTTAGATGGTATAATAAAATGAGATATAGAGATATAAAATATCAATAAAGATGGAGGTGAAAATACATTGATTATATTTATTTTTTAAATAGAATATTATTTATATAAAATATTTTTATAATATGATCAATATTTGATTAAATTATAATATAAAAAGTTGCTATAAGAATTTATTATAGATCCTTAGGCATCAACAAAAAAATATTGATTGAAATAATTCAATATGAATCAAGATAGGTTACTTGTAGATGTATATCAAGGACTCGTAGATATTTTTGAAGTTATGCAAAATCAAGAAGTTGACATGCAAAAACTAAGATATGGAATAATTCTTCTATTATCTCATGTTAGAAGCATATAAAATATATCTATTAATTAATATTTTCAAAATCCAAATATATTTAGTAAAATGATTGCAAATTCATGATAGCCAAAGATTTTAAGCATATTCTCTTTAAGATAAAGACTCAAGGATTGTCCAAACTTGGTGGCAATAGTATTTAAATTCAAGGATTGTGCATTGATTGAAGATATTTATAAGTATCATATTTTAAGAAATGTACTTACAAAAGTACATACTATTAAGTTTCAAAAGCAAGGTCTTTTATACATGCACTTCTTATTTTTTTAAAACAAAAGAATAAAATAAAAGATTCAACCAATATTGATAAGATTTTTTGTATTGAGTTTCATATTAAAAAAAATATATATTTGAGACAATTAACACTTATATAATTTATGGTTCATATAAATCTTAAAATATGCAATCTCCATATCTAAAAGATAGAATATATTGAAAGAAATATCCAAAAAAATATTAAAAAGTAACATCAATAGATGGTGATGGCTATTTCTAATATTATAGAAAGAATAATGGAATTTTTTTTAAGATTAGTAATTAAGTTATAAACAATCAAGATGTTATTCTATATAATCTTTTTTTTAGCAAAATGTATAACTGCCATATTAACATTGAGATTTGTGCTTTAACTTGAGTTATAAAATATATTCATAAGTATAACTATAAAAGACATGATTATATAATAATACAAATTAGAAAAGAGGAGGATGAGGTCAAGCAATATATTGATATATAATATATTAGAGCTTTAAAGGTAGCATATTATTTGTTTTAAATTTTAATATATGAAGAAGTTTTAAATGTGGCATTATATCTTCTTTGAATATATTAAGTAATTTTTATTTCAAATGTTGATGCAATTTAAGTCTTAGGTGATAAAAAGTGACAAAAAACAACTTAGATAATATTTTTTGAAATGTGTAAATCTATAGAAATTGCTTGGCAATTTAATTATGAAAGATTTCCAAAGCATTTTGTATCAAATAAGACTTCAAAGAAGTGGAAAATAAGACAATGTGGATTTGTAATTAGAAGATTATATTTTGTTGATCTTATTATAAAAAATAGATTTTGTCTTTGGTTTCTTTTTATAGTAGTATATAGATTATATTTATTTGAAGATCTACGTATTGTAAATATAATGCTCCAACCAAATTTTAAGATTACATGCTTAGAAATAGGATTGTTAAAAGATAACAAAGAGTAAAATCAATACTTAGAAAAAGCCTTCATAATAAAAATAGAAAAAAAATTAAGATTATTGATTGCTATTATTTTTTTCAATGTTTACTTGTATATTTAAAAAATCTATGAGATAAGTTTAAAGATTTTTTTTGTAATGATATGGATTATTGATTGATTCAAAGTTATAAAATTAAAAGACCAATGGAAAGAAAGATATTATATTATAGAATGCATCATATATAGATGTGCTAAGAATAATAGTTCTTATCATTTGGAATGAAGTATTAATGAAACATTACCATTATGCTATGACAATTGATAAAACTCTGTAATCATAAATGACATTAATAAATTATTTGGCACAATTACTCTGATCTTTGATAGAGATTTTTGGCAAATTCTTCTTGTTTTTATTAAAGGCTTAAGAGGAGAGATTTTTGATGCTAGTTTATGACAATCAAAGATTTGGTCTCATATTAAAGTTTGCAAGTTGATCAAATATATGCATCTAGAAAGTGTATTTGATAAAAATTGATTATTTGCTAAAAAATTCTCAAAGATATATATTATACAAGGTTGTTACTTTTGAATTTTTTTAATAATATAATATTTTTTATTAATATATCTTAAAATTATACTCATTTATAAATTTAAAATGAATAAAGTTTTTTAGATCTATTAAAAAATATTGTGATTCTTTTAAAACGTATGAAAAGAGGTCCAACATCAATTGATTTGATTTAAGCTATATATTTAGGATTAAATGAGAATAGAATATTTTGAGATGAATATTTTACTAACATGTTTATTTTATGTGCAGATAATTATGATGTCAATGATTTGAACAAGTGTACTATAAAAAGATTTCCTAAAATTTTACATGTTTATCTCAATGCAAATATAATAATTATAGAAGATACATCCAATAAGAATAATTTTTATCTAATCAAATATTTGAATAGCTTAAGTCTTTCTAGATTACCACCATTTAGCTTAGAGCTCAATGTTAGATGTCATATTATGTTGTTGTAAAACATTATTATACATCAAAGACTTTGCAATGGATCTTGCTTGGTCATCACATAGCTTGTTGATTAAATTATAAAGGTAAGAATTTTATTTAGAAACTACAATAGACAATTGGCTTTTCTTCTAAGGATCATATTATGTTCATCATTTGTAGAGGTTTTGTTCAAGTTGTAGCAAAGGCAATTCTCAATAAAGATGGGATTTGCAATGACCATCAACAAATCTCCAAGACAATTGTTGAAGAATGTAGGAATAGATCTTTGAATCCTTGTATTTGGACATGGATAGTTGTAGGTTGTTCTTTCATGATATAGTTCTCCAGACATGATCAAGATCCTATATCTTAAAAATAATAAGGACAAAAATTCTACTCTAAATATAGTTTATCCTAAATTTCTTTTAACTTAGTTATTTTAGTTGTTGTAATAAATAAAAATTATGTTTGCTAATTACAGTGAAGAAACATAAATGGTAAATATTTATTTATTTATCTTTCAACATTTCTTTAGGATTGAACAATTTTTGACTTAGCAGCTAGAAATCAAACTTTTATATCTTTTTCTTGGCCAACTCTACTGATTTCCACTAGTAAGTATATATATATATATATATATATATTGCTAAGGTTCATACCAGTGAAAATGCAGTTTAGCTAGACATCTATTTGTTTGTCCTTGGCAGCACAGAGCATGTGACTATTAATTTGCATATGCGTAGTATGTGGCGATTTTGAAGTTTAATTGGACTCGGCTTTGAGCTCTCCAAAACCACATGCATAGTCCCAATATATTTCTGGAAGTTGATGCTTAGACGATCCATCACGTAATTTAATCAACAAAACTACAGCAGATTCTAGTGAGTTCACAGAATGCGAGGCTGTATCGGCGTGACTCTCATTTTCATTGTGTGACATTGCTCTGCAGTTACTGGAGAAATAATTGTGAAGCTTCACAATAAATTGGAAGGTGGATGCTACTTTCAGACGCTGTGAACGCACAAGTTTTGCGATGGGCTGAGAAGCGAAGATTGATTCCTCTAATTAGTTCGTGTGTGCAAGTTTTGTGAAGACCTATCCTTCTTAGGCTAGTTTCTTAGTTTTTAGGAACTCAATATTGACGAAGTTCAGGTTCAGTTATTTCGCTTGTGTTCGAAGCTATCGCAGATATTGAGCGTTGCAAATGTATTCGGAGTTGCCTCTTCTCTGCATTATTCCTCTCCAGAATTTGATTGACTTGTCTGCGTGTTGGATTTTGTCTTTCGAAATGAGTGCTCTACACATCATCTTCTAGTCCTAAGGATAGAAATATTTGCACACTGCTCGTGCATTATAGATCCTTTTCAGCCATTCCAAGCTTTCCAAAAAAAACTTTCGTTGGTTATTTAAGCAGTTATGGAGTATCTGGATGAATAAGTATTAACAGCCATGATATGGAACCCAAATAAAGTAGACCAAACTGATTGATTGTTGAAATGTTGCTTTGGTTTTCACATCTTATGTGCTGTTCACTGTGTCCGACACTGGTTTTAGGAGATTAAGTCCATGAATGATCGATTTAGGAATGCTTACTGGAGTGCTTCGGATACATTTCTGGAATTGCCCATTTCAGTAAGTTGTACAGAACCACTGTTCGTACTGTATGGGCTATTAATGGTGGTAATTTTAGTAGTTGGTTTGATCGACTGATATTTGCAATTAGATGGATGATTAGAAAGCGAGGGTTAAAATGAATAAGTTGGAAGAGGCAAGCGAAAGTAACACACGAATCTCCATGTTGAATTCACTAAGAACTTGACCTCGATGATCAAGCGCAGACAATACCGAAGCGCTCATTGAATTTGGGGTCGCTGCATGCCAGCATTGCAACAAGAGTACAAGCAGATGCCTGCTTTCCTAGGCGGCGATGACGAGGAGCAATGGTCTTATTAAGATTGTAACCATAAAAGGCAGGAAACTCCACCAACTCACTCAGAGGGCGGCCCATGGTGAGCACTAAAAAAATCCAATTTGGGTTGCACTGAGTTGCGGATGCTTCGCGTGAGCACTGGGGGATAACTGATCACTATGGAAGCAACCTGCTGAGGGGTGAAACCCACGCTCCGCAAGTGCTCCACGAGGGGCTTGAATAATACCCGGCCTCGCGGATCAGAGTGTTAGGAAAGAATATCACCAATTCCCGTACCGCTGAACCTTGGATTCTTATGCTGTTAAAGAAATTTATGTTAGGGCGGAAACGATTGTCCAGACTGTATTGTAGCAGGTTGGGACAAGTGGTCAACATTCGCCCTAATTCTACCTTGGCAAGGCTCAGAGTCTGAAGGAAGTCCACCGTCGGTTTCAGCTGTAACTTAACAGACGTGGGCATTGCGTGAGCACCTGCCCATCACAATTACGGCTAATTTAACGCTCACAAATTGACACAAAAGCAACTGGAAAAATAAGGGTTAAAAGGAGATAGAAATACCTGAGCAGGCACCTGTTCTTTGATGCCTAGGTCCTGCAGAAAGGCTAGTAACGGACACAGCTTCTCCTGTACACTGTGCAGAAGAGTGTGGGGGAAAACTGGCCACCATTGGCTAAATTCTTGCGCTTTGCTCCAACACCCTCCAGGGCAATGACGAAGAGCTCCAGCCTTCCTCGGATGCTTACCTGCAGAAGCCGTGTGCAGCGAACAACCACTGCAGGGAACTTTAGCTTTGGTATACCTACTCTGTTTTCGAGATACGCCCAATTGGTCTGCGACTTCTCCTCGTCCCATGCAATTTCCAGCGCTGAGGACCTGCCAAAGAAATTTAATTCCAAATCATGTAAAGATTTACTCATGCGTCTTGAGAATGGGACCACTCTTTGCCATGGGACAAGTTTCAGCTAGTAACTAATAACTTATAAAATCCCTATTTTAGCTACAAATGTGTAGCCAACAATGTTCACACAATGTCTCTTGAATAACTATTTTGGTGGTAGCAACATTTGTACCAATTATATCAACTCTTACAATAGAGAGCATATCTCCATTTTTAAAATCCAATTTTATTGACTCAAAGAAGTCAATAATCTTGCATATCATGTCAAAAAACCATGCAAGCCAATATGAGTTTTTTTTTGCCAATGTGCAAATACAACCAACTCATGTCATGCTCATTGTTCTACATAAGTAATCTCTAAAACCATAAACCTTGTCAATTAAAGATCTATAAGTTTGTAGTAGCACTACCGTTGTGTGGTAACATGACTATGCAGTGAAAAAATTTAAAAATGGATGTTATTATAGAAAAGTCTAGTCAAGATGTAGTAAAAAAATAATGATAAATTATAGAAAGGTAATAAAAAGTGTAGTCTTAATACTACCTTTTGTAGAAGGGACTTCTATTTATTTTGTAGAGACACAAAACTACACACTTACAGCAACTCTGGGGTTCTTTTACAAATCAAAGAAAGGAATTTAAAAAAAGAATTCATAAATTTTTTTAAGCGTTAGTTTTCGGCAAATTGAATTTGTAATGACTTTATAAGAGCTTTGCAAAGTTTGAGTTGTATTCGGTGAATTTGGTTTTATGAAATAAAAATAAGATTTATATTTGAAAAAAATTTGTGAGTTTGGTAGTAGATCTATAGATGAAAATTTGTAGATTTGTGATTATAGTTGTTCTTATTGCATATGATAAATTTGAGTGTGATCAAATGGTTAGATTGAAGGTTATTGAAGTTCAGGTGGGTTGAGATCTTAGAAATGGGATTTTGAGGGTTAGTGAGGATTTCTAAGATCTTTAGCAATTTGCATGTTGAATTGAAGTGAAATTTATGTGTGTAGATAGTAGACTTGATTTCCAACATATAAATAAATTTTGAAAGATATTTAATGGTAGAATTTAAAAGATTTTGGCTTAAGGTGATTGGCATCAAGATTAGAGAAGGAAGCTTGTCAACACTCAAATGGATTTTAGGAGTTATCATCTATTTGGTATATGTAATCTTCTTTAGATTTTTTATACTTGTTTTTAATTTAATTGTTACAAAGTGTGAAAAATTTGAGTCAAAATCAATAATTCAATCATTTTTTATTGAATTTTTAATCTACTATAGGATTTTTAAGTATTTTATTTGAAATTTAGGATTTGATTAAGAATTGATTAAGATTGATTTAGGATCTAGGATTTGACTAGGATTTGATTAAGATTCATTAGTATTGGTTTAAGATTTAGGATTGTATTTGGATTTTATTAGGATTTAACCTAGAATTTGATTAAGATTCAATTAAGATTTCAATTAGGATTTGAACTAGAATTTGGTTAAGATTCATTAAGATTTCAATTAGAGTTAAATAAAGATTTGATTAGAATTTATTTATATTTCTATTTTTAGTATTTTATGGTTCTCAATTATTTCTTTAATAAAATTTATTTCTAATATTTCTTTAAAATTATTGTTATTTCTTTAAAGGTTTATTTTTATATTTCTTTAAGATTTTATTTTATTTTATTTTATTTTTTTGAGATTAATTTATTACTTCTTTTTATTTTTTTGTTACTTCTTTTAAATTTATTTTGGATTGATTAAAGTTTTATTAGGGTTGTTAAGGTTTACTTAAAGTTTATTTAAGATTCTATTAGACTTGGTAGGATTGTTGTTGCATGTTTACTTTCCTTCCACAACTAGTTGCCTAGTGCATTTTCAAGTAAGAATACATGTAATATGATACTATCCAACTTGGTGCAATTTGAACCTCAATACATAACATATTGTTATGTGGTAATACAACTATATAAATAAGATAAAAAAATACAGATTTTATTATAGAAGAGCCTAGTATAAAGATATAGTAGTAAAATAAGGATTAATAATAGGAAGGTAGTAAAAACCTTTACTCTTAATATTATCTTTTTAGAAAAGACTTCTATTTACTTTTTAGAGGCACAAATGAGCCAAGTCAAAGAGGATGAGATAATTAATTGATTTATGCATCTTTAAGAGAGAATTAAGAATAGGATTTAGCAAAAATTACCTCAAAATACTAAGAACTGATACTCAGAGAGGATTGGTTGTGAACTAGGGTCAAAATCAGATCCTAAGGCAAAAAATCGTGTATCTACAACAATTCTACAATTCTTTGGTTGATCACAGAATAGGAATTGAAAAACGTATGAAAGGATTTTTAGGAGTTGATTGTATGTGATTTGAAGGCATATTGAATTTTTGAGGGCTTTACAAAGTAAAAGATATACTTAGAAGTTTTGGATTTTGAGAAATAAAATGAAGTTTATAAATTTTAGGATTTTGTGAATTTCGTAGCACATTTATGGGTGAAAATTTGTGAAGATATAATTGCGCTTGTTGTAAATGTGTTTGAAAAATATGATGTCAATCAAATGATTAGATTAAAAGATATGAAATTTTTATTAGATTAAAGTCTCAAATACATAAACTTTGGGATTAGTGAAGGTTTTTGCAATCTTTCAAAATCCTAATCCTAAAACCTATTGAAAGTTCAACATTTAGGTTGAAAAATGAGAGCAACTAACATCCAAGAGGTTTAGAAGCTTTTTTGTTCAATTGATGAGTTTAATTTTTTTCAAATTTTGTGTACATGTTAATTTCTTATAGATTGAAAAATGAGTGAATTTCAAATGAGATCTAGAATTTGATTAATATTTATTGAGATTTTAAAATAGCTATAAGAATTGATTAAAAGTTTTTTAGAATTTTTTTGGAATTTTTTAGAATTTGATTAGGATTTTTTTGAGATTTGTATAGGATTTATTAAGATTTTATTAGTATTTAATTAGGATTTTTTTGAAATTTATTTAGGATTTTTTAGAGTTTTATTAAGATTTGTTTAATATTTATTTAGAATTTTTATTTTTTAATATTTTTTAATATTATTTTTTATTTCTTTAAGATTTTTATATTATGATTTTGTTAAGATTTTTGTAGGATTTTTTAGAGTTTCATTAGATTTTTTTTAGAATTTATTTATGATTTTTATTTTAAATATTTTTTTACGTTCTTTGTCATTTCTTTAAGATTTTTATATTAGTATTTCTTTAAGATTTTTGTTGTTTCTTTAAGGTTTTATTTTAGTATTTCTTTAGGTTCTTTTTTATTTATTTATGATTTTTATATTAATATTTCTATAAGATTCTTGTATTTTTTAAAAGTTTATATTTTAATATTTTTTTAGGATTTCTTTATTATTTTAAAAAAATTAGTTTATGAATTTTTTATGTTTCTTTAGAAATTGTTTTTTTGTTAAATTCTTTTGGATTGATTAAAATTTGATGATGTTTGTTAAGGATTAATTAGAATTTATTCAAGATTCAATTATATTTAGTAAGATCTTTTTATTACATTTTTTTATTTACCTTCTATAGCTACATGCCTAATGTATTTTTAAGCAAGAATTCATGTTATACAACAATATTTTCGTACTTATAACTAATTGAACGACCATCTCTAAGATTAGTATATATTTTTTCTCTCTTTTTATATAACTACTCCTTTTTTGCATCACTTGTGATTCCATTATGCATCATAGCTAAGATTTTGTTCATCATTATTGTTCCTAAGATAGTTGCAATTGTGGTGGTTGAGGCTCACATAGTTCTTGCTTTCTTTGTACATATTCTAAAAACTATCTTATTTGAAGATTAAATAATATAATTATTTTTTTATTTTGATACATAATATAAATAAGAAAAATTTAAGATACTTACTTTTTTTTTTTTTTTTGCAATATGTCATTTAAGTGTTTTTTAAAACCATTGTTCCAAAACATTCAATATTATTATTGGCATTATCTTTCAATGTAATATAATATGTGATCAAGTTAGAATGGCATTAATTAACTAGAATATTTATTTTTTTCTTAAATTATTCGTTATATTCAACATCTATCTTTATTGATGCATAAAAAAGTCTAAACCACTTTGAATTATAAACTTAATCAAAAGATCTACATGCTTTGATTGAAGGTTCCATATTTTGAAGACTTATTATGTTTGTTGATGATTCTAAAGTATTTTTTTTTTAAACTTTTATGCAATATAAGCTATTCAATTTTTAAATTAGATGATTTTTTAAGCCATGATATTTAATTTAAAAAATAAAATAAAAAACTTGACCAATAGAATCATATAGATAATTTGTGTGATTTTTTTTTTTTTTTTTTTTTTTTTTTTTTTTTTTAAATATATAATTTTGATGACTATTACAATTTAATTAAAAATATGGGATATAATATTTTATCTTCATTTTTAATTGATGAAAAATGACATATAATAAATTGATATTTTAATCTAAATGGTTTTTATTCTATCTTATTTCAATATCCTTAAAAAAAATTAAAATATACAAAGATCAGTAAAAAAAAAAAAAAAAAAAAAAAAAAAGAGAAAACAATGAGCTAACAAAGCAATTATATGTGATGCCAAATGAACAAAATGCAATGAGAGTTTGATAAAATTTTGCCATCTTAAAGCAAATAATTTAAATTTAAGAAAAATCAAGTGAGGTTATAAAAATGTTGACATCAAAAAATGACTTATCATACTTCAAGAGTTTGTAGTATATACAACTTTAGTATAAATGACATAAGATATATTTTTTTTAATTACAACATAATTTTCTTACATCAAGGCATTTTGGTACAAACAAAATATCAATTTTGGATTCAAGGTATTATTCTTGACCACAAATGTCATCAGCAGTCTATCATGGCACATGTTTCTATCAAATTAGATATATTTCTCTAAATTTTTTAGATTTCAACTTTTATTTAATATTTAAAAGTAAACAGTTTTTAATGCTCATGCATGTCAATATAAATATTTAAGGATTTAATAACAAATTTCAACATTTGGAAGTTAAAGAGATTTTTTTGAAAAAAAATTTAAAACTTAAAACAAGAAATTTAATACATATTTATTTTATTTTTACTCTCTATATTCTTTTTATTATAGTATGTAAGGTTTTTTTCATTTATGGACTTTGAGCTTTTGTTATAATTGGTCTTCAAAAAAACTAATCCTATCATTATATATATTGTTTGAAATTTCACACACAAACGTTAATACTTTTCAAAATATCAATTACATTTTGACATTTATTACCAAATTCCAATAAATGTGTTTCAGGGTATATGTGCCAAAATTGTATTACTAGTAATGTTATATTTGTCACATTACAAGTAATACAATTTTGACAAACGTCAACATCACTCGGATTTTTATAATGCATTTAAAGTACAAATTTCCCAACATCTATTCATCAAATAATTCTGATATAAAAAATGTTTAAAAAATGCTGTAATTAACATAACAAGAATACTCAAATTATCTCTATAGCAAGGATTATAACCAATCTTTATTTCAATTACACTAACCTCAAAACCCAGACAAAATCAACCAAAGTGACATTATAAAAATCAAGAAAAACCCACAAACACTGTAGCATCTTTTGGATTCAACTTTTGTAGAAAATTCCAAAAAGGTTCAACTTGGAGTACCAAACTATGGAGAATGGGTAAAAAGAAGAAAGAAAATCCATAGTACAGTCAAGAGTCCAACCTTACAAGGCTCCTAAGGGAACCCAGCTTTCAACATATCAACGCTTGCATGGACTCAGCGCCTCTTTACCACGACTCGCCACTCAGCTCTACGCAGCAGTAAATTCTCACGCATTTCCTTCCATATTCTTCCTCAAGCTGCATGAAGATCATGCCTTTCGGAGCTTCCATTGTCACTATCTCCTTCAATCTACTCAAATATTTGTGTAGCGGATGATCTCCTACAGATCTCCGTATATATCAGTTCTCTGAGAGAATTTATTTTTTTAGACTTAACTTTACAGGTCACTAACCACTGGTATGAATTTTGAGTAGATTCTGGTTTTATAAAGATTTGTATCTCGGATCATGAAGTGTTGTTTGTTGAAAGATTGGATTTTTTGGAGCAATGGCTCCACAAGTTGGCGAGGTTAGTGATATGGAATTAGACAAGCAAAGTGGTGTGTTGTTGTCTGCACTCATGGTGTGTAACAATGCTATTGCTTTTTGCTGCAATGGTGAAGTTCGTAATGGAGGAGTTCATGGTGCGGATCTTTTTAATCGGGTCAAGGCTGCCAAGGCTATGGAATACAGCCAACTTGAGGAGGCTGTGCAGATAGTGGATATTTTTAAGAATGCCACTTGGGTTGTAGTCAAAGGGGCCAATCTTAGTGTTCCTCAAGTGGCAGGTATTGCTCGCAAATCTGAAGTGCAGGTGGAACTAGACGCTGTGAATGCTAAGAAGAGAATGGATGAGACCTCTAACTGGGTGTGATATCTACGGCGTAACTACTGGATTTGGTGCTACCTCGCATTGTCGCACGCAATGAGTGGAGCTCCAGCATGAGCTCATCCGTTTTTTCAATATAGGCATCATTGACAATGATAACTCCTTGCTCGCAGAAACCACCCAAGCAACCATACTTATGCAGACTGATACGCTAATGCAAGGCTACTTTGGCATCTAATGCAAGATCCTCTAGGCAATGGAGAGCTTGTTGAACGTGCACGTTACCTCAAAGCTGTTGCTGCAAGGCACCATTACTGCCTCGGGCGATCTGGTTTCCTTCTTGTATATTGTTGATCTGCTTATGGGTTGCCTAAATTCTAGAGCGGTCACTAAGGACGGTCGAGAGGCTTTTGCATTGGAAGCTTTGTGCATCGCAGGTGTGTGGAAGCAATTTGAGCTTGCGCTCAAGGAAGGGCTCGCCCTCGTGAATGGAACCGCGGTCGGCTCCGCCCTCGCTTTCACTATGTCCTACAACGCTAACATCATGGTATTCCTTGCAAAGATTATGTTGATGTTCTTCTACGAGGCAATACAAGGCAAGCCGGAATTTACCAATCTCCTCACCTGCAAGCTCAAGCACCACCATGGACAGATATTAGCCGCGGCCATCATGAAGGCTGATGCCAAATTCAATGAGACTAATCCCCTCCGTAAGCCCAAGCTGGACAGAGATGCACTTATGGCAATTCAAGACAATACTGGAAGAAGCACAAGCACATGGATATTATGTGAAGAATTAATCACAACAGATATTGCGGGGTCTGCTATACTGACATAACCACGACTTGCTAATCATATATTGTAACTTGAAGTGTGACAATACAATTGTGAATTTTAATCCAAGAGAGGTGAGAATTGGAGATCTAAGTCTTGCAGTGATTCTTTAGCAAGCACATGCAGTGCATAGTATGAGCATGATTCCAGAGTTCATGGCTCCTGAGCTATATGAAAAAGAATACACTGATTGGGCTTGACAAGCTCGAGGATAAATAAAGTTGGATCTTAGATTGGTTCCTTGTTCCACCATCTACATGAATCATGCATATATAAAAAAAAAAATGTAATCAAATACATGAGGCATCTAAGTTAAGAAGTTTTGACATAGAAACATAGCACTTGGACTTTTATGTGTTGTAAATGATTACTAAAATAATTTAATTCACATTTTTTTGTCTATATTTATCTTACTAATATTGTATATGATTTTTTGTGTTTATGTAGTTTGAACTTTTTTTGTAATTCATCTTCAAAAAAACTACTACTACCATTAAATATATTGTTTAAAATTTCTAGAGCATAATTACTTTGTTATAATATCAAGACTAGTTGCCCTTATGACAAGTTGAATTATCATAGATTTAGATTATTTTCTATTTGTGCATAGATTAATTCATTAGCATATTAATCAAACCTATTGGAGTTTATAAAAATTCATCTTATATTATATGTGTCTCTTTTTGAGCCATACAAGATAGTTGATATATTGAGAAGAAGATAAATACCACCTACTCTTATATAAATAGATAATAATCAAGAATTTGAGATTAAAAAAGTCTTACATTTAAGGTGGTGCTAAAATAGGTTAAACTATCTTGTATATTGGTACACATATGATATTAATAAATGCATATAAGAGCTAACCAAGAATCTTACAAATGCACAAAAGAAGGTTAATGCTTTTTATTGATAACATTAATTAAAACTAAGTTGAAAGGTCAAGCAATTCATTAATATAAAAGAAAGTTGGTTTAATGATGATTTTATTTTATATTCTACCATTATTTGTAGTTTTTATCTATTTATAGTATTAAAAAAAATAGAGAATCTGTAACCAATAGATTCAATCTAAAATCTATTATTTACAAAGTTATTGAACAAGATATTGAGATTGTCACAACTTTCAAGATAATGTAATAAAAATGAAGATCCTAGAGAACAATATGTTTTTATTTTGTTTTGTTTTGTTTTTTTTTTTTTTTTTGAATGGATGGTGAAATACAATGTATTTGGTATCACAAGTTTGGAAGAAATTCTAAATTTTGGTGATACTATTGGAAATAGATATTATTCTTAATGGTGTTTCAAATGTTTTATTTGAAGAAAGTTAGAAAGTCCTTGATATTAATTATATAATAGTATAGTCTTTTTTGCCATAGTATATAATACTATTAATAGATGAGAGAATATATCAACTACTTTCAAAGAAAAAATAGATCAAAGTATGTAGCAAATATAATATGTTGCATCTTAGGCTTTTTTAATATGCAAATATTATTTTTTTTTTGTCAAACTTGTCTATAGAAAGAAGAATAATATTATTATCATATAGATTTATGTAATTTGAAAGAGTTAGTTAGAAGTAAGTAGAAATAAATTTGATAATATCTTAGAAAGAAGCTTTTTGAAAGCTTTATAGATGTTAATTCGACTTTATATATATTTGTAGGAGATTGATAGGTTAAAAACTTAGCCATTAAATTGGCCACATGTATACATGTTGGTAACTTGTGGTACAAGTTGGCCATGTAGCATATATGTAAGTAATTCATCTTATGAATTATACATATAACAAATATCTTATAGAATGTTAATATATAGCTTTTAGTTAGATAATACATATAGAGCCAAGAGTGAGGCCTTTTTCACTCTTATCAATATTTTTTTTATTCTTAGTCTTGTTTCAAGAGTCTCTAATCTTCTCATCTTTGACAATAGTCATTCTAATTTTAATATTATACTATCTTTAAATAAATATCTATTCTTATCTAATGACATAAGAATATACTTATGTTTTGATATTTTGTGATTCATGTCCTTGACACAACCACACCAATAAATATACATCTTTATAACTTCTTCTTTTTCAATATTTTTTTAACAAAATTAATTTTTTTTTCTCATATAAGTATTAAATATATTATTTACCTAAGTTCTCTAAACATTATTAAGTTCTCTAAATATTACTAAAAAAATATATCATTCATGAATATTATAATATTAAAAAAATATATTAGATATAATCCATTTTGATATCTAATTTTAAAATAACAAAATATAAATAAAAAATTGATACTTTTTTGAAATAATATATTCCTTTCAACTTAATAAAATTTAACTAAATTCTCCTTTACCATGGTTATTAGCTCTCATAGAATTCTTTGATAATCTTTTATTGAGCTTCTAAAGCACATATTGTATATTGTAGAATTTTTCACTCATTTTTTGAATGCTTTCATAAATATCTATTATGTAAAAAATATCCATAAGTTTTTCTTAGGAACATTTTAAAATTCTTGATCTTTCAAAAAATAATTTGCTTAAATTTACTTAATTAATTTTTAACATCTATTTATTCACCTTCATATAAATATCTTTAAAATAATTTCAATAGTATATTTAAATATATAATTTTTTATTTTAATAATATATTAGAATAAAATTTTGCATTCCCATCATTTGGTAGAAAAATCATATCATCTTCACCATAAAACCTTGTCTATGATAATGCATTTACTAGTAACTTATTTTTCTTTGTAATGTATTAGGAAGAAAGGTATTGAGAAACAAATATTGATAAGATATACCAAATGTGAGATGTTTTTTTATTGATAAAATTTCTATAAATATTATTTCAAATAAATTAAGTAGATAGTTATATTGAAAGAGTTTCATAAATTAATTGTTTTGAATGACTTTTTTTTGTAGAATAAAAAGAAACCAATACTTTGATAAATTATAGAAATATTATAGAAATTCTATTAATAAACATTTGTAATATCTTAAATATAATTATTTTAGATTTGTATTATAAATTTATGCTTAATTAAATGATTAGATTAAAGGTTATTGAAATTCAAGCATGTACTATCTTGGAAAGTAGATTTTGAAGATTACCAAGGATGTAGTGTATTAAAAACTATGATTTTGAATAATATATTATATGAATTAAAATTATTTTCTTATTAGTTAATTTTTGATTTAATTTTGAAAACATACACATATTTTTAGAGTAAGTAAATAGTGCAAAATAGAACTACTAAAGCCAAAAGATTGACATCAAGGTTGGAAAAGGATGATGGCAATATTCAAGCAGATTAGGAGTTGTTTCTTCCAATCTATATGTTAATTTTCATCAAATTTTGTATGCTTGTTTTAAAATAGTAAATTAAGAATTATAATAATATTTAATAAATATAGATATTAAAATTATTAATTATTGAGGTTTTAAATTTTTTATAGAATTTTATTAGAATTAATTAGAATTGATCAGATTTTGATTAGGATTTAATTAGGATTTGATTAATATTTATTTAGGATATTTTTAAGGTTCTATTAAAATTCATTTAGGATTTGGTTAAATATTATTTAAATATTTTTAAGGATTAATTAGAATTAATTTTTAAAAATTAAAAATTTATTAGAATTTTTTGAATTTTTCTTAGAATTTTATTGGAGTTTAATTAGAATTTATTTAAGATTCCTTTAAGTAATTTCAAATGTTTTTTAGAAATTTTATAAATATTTTTATTGATATATTTAGAATATATTTAGAATTTTTATTAGATTTTTTAAAATTGATAATAATTTCTATAAGATTTGTTTTTGGTTAATTTAGAATTCTTTATAATTTAATTAAGTTTATTAAAGATTTTTTCAAAATTATTTGGAGTTAATTAAACTAAAATTAAATTAAATTAAATATTTTTTAATAATTATTAAGATATACTTAGTATAATTAGAAGATTACTTCATTTTTTTAAGATTACCAAAAGAGTATTTTTAAACACATGATGCATTTTTTTTAAATTAATTTTTTTAATGAATTGATTTTTCTAATTATTTGCAAGGTTTAAATATAAGAAATCACACTACCAATTAGAAAATTAAAAATAAATATAATTTAAACCATTATTTTTAAATTGATTTTTTGTATTTTTAATTCAAAACTTACAGCTCATGTAAATTGAGATTAATTTCAGCTTAATGATCTTGTCTTTTACTAACAAACATCCTTTTTTCAACATGCAATTTTTTCTAAATTCTAACTAATTGGTACTAAAAAATGGTAGCTAATTCTAATTATATAGATTGTAAGATTTACTCCAATTCTCTTCTCTTAAATTCTTGTTGTCTCTTTGAGTAGACATTAGAGTTGATTGAAGTTATATTAATAATATTATCTAATATATAAAAATATTCAATTAAAAAAATATTATTCTTCTAATTTTTGACAATAGAATACTTTATTTATACCTAGTAGAGATACAAATCATTCAAAATTCATTCTAATTCACTTACACAATCTAAATTTTTTTATATGTAGTAAACTTAAGTTACAAAAATATACTAATTAGATCTATCTTAGTTATTATTTTAATTTAAAACATGTTTACTCTCTAATGAACTTGAAAATATGTACTAATTCCAATGGATAACTTAACTTCAATACAATGTCAATTAGATGATATCTTGCTCTTGACTTAATAATTATATTTTAAATAATAGTTATCTTCTTTATGGGCATAAATCTTCTTTATGAGCATAAAAATTTTAAAAATTTCAAATAATAAATAAGTTATGGTTCGGAATGTTTAACATTATTTTTGAATTGTTAATCATATTTTAAGATAAAATAAAATCCTTCTATAGTCAAATGTCATGTATATTTCTATGTTGATTTTTACATTGTACAACACTACTTTAAAAAATAATTCTAAATCTTCTTTCTAATCTTTTCTTTTTTATTTTTGCATAAATAAAGCAAATGCTTCAAATAAG